GAGAAAAGGTGGCGGAACTCAAACCTGGCCACGCCCTCATCAAACCCTAGGACCGCCCCTTTAGAGAACAGGAATGCAAGTAAAATTTGGGAGGGGCTATTTCCGGTGTGGGAGGGGCTATTTCCGGTGCGGCCGGCCCGGAAAAAGGTGCCGGAACGCCGTTCCGCCGCGTTCCGGCTGAAAAAAAGCCCTGCCTATAATGTATTTCTTATAAATACATTTCCTTTCTGTTATAGTTATAAATATAGTTATTCATTAATCATTGCTTAGATTAGAGTCCCACCTTCATACACTCCAGTCTCTAATACAGGGGTGTCAAACTGCCGGCTCATAGGCCGGTTGCATCATGTGGAGGCCGCACCCACCCCAGCTCCGGCAATGCAGGGGAGGGAAGTCACGATACGTCGCGACACATAATGTGACGTGGCGAGTTTGACACCCATGCTCTAATATATTACTTTTCCACTGTGATCTGATGCAGTGACTTGTTCACATAGACTGCAACATAAGCACTTACCTCTTTGAAGTAGTTCATTTTCTTTTCTAGCTCTTTTGCAGTTTTGACAAGTTCAACTGATTGCTGCTTGAGAACTGCTGCATGAGTAAGAGTTTCCTTTGTGTTCTGCTGCAGAGAAGCACTTTCATATGTTAAGGAGTCAATAAAACATACAATTTAACATTCAAATAAAAACCTAAAAGGGACCACAATTCTGCTCATAGTTATGAAGAGTTCATTTCATTTAAATACCTGAAATCAATGAATTGATTCTCCATAATTTGGATAGTTTTATTCTCCATCCAAATTTACCAGTTTGTGATTAACATCTTGATGAATCATTTGTTATTAGCCCCCCCAAAGTATACAATATAAAACACATTCAAATATTTTAAAAATTGCTAACTTGTAACTAACATGCAACATATTGTGTTAATTTCATATAGCATTTTAATTATGTGAAATTGACTTCCAACAATTGGTCCTAGTATTTCAAATTAAATTGAGGATTAGGCTATAGTGCAGTCTAGTGGCCATGGTATAATTTGTATACTAAATGCTCAAAAGTTTAGAAAACATTACATAAAACATTTGAAAAGATGAAGTTCTGCTAGCTTCTATAAATCTGGGACCAAGTTAGTGATGTTAATTCCATTTCAAATAAAACATGAAATAAAATTGCATCAATGTATTGAATGCATGTACACTGGTATTATACTCTGATAGAATGGTATCCAGGAATAAAACAAATTACTCTGCTCTTGTGTAATCCATCCTCAAATCTCAAATTGGTTCATTGGACTACTGAAACAAAACTAGAGAGACATATAGGAGGAGAGATGAAGAATAGTGAGGGCATAAGTCCATTTTTAGACATAGGCTATAAGCCAAATTTGCTTTAAATTCTATCCCCAAAATTTAAGATGCACGATGTATAATGGATGGATAACAATTTACATTTAGTAGTTCTAAAAATAATATATAACTAATTATTGTGATAGTCTTTTATTTAACTAAGTAGAATCATTTTAAACCAAATTTAAATTAGTATTTCCTATTTCCCTATATGGAGCTTGATTACACTTACGTATCCTGAATATATGAGCATTGTCCACAATTACTTCTCGTCATTCTAATTTAGTTAGTTTCTTAAATGGCAAAATACATTATTGCTACATGTGCTTATCAACTGACATAACAGCTTGCAACTATCATGATAGAATCAATAGGAGTTGAATGGATACATATGTGTGGCCCATGAAGAAAGTGACTGGAAAGGACCAGGTTCTGGAAAAAAGACGGTAATGAATTAATCTCATAACTGTTCTGCATCTTATTAAACAGCAAAGAAGGAAAACGGTCCAAGTTGTTTATTCTATTGTTCCAGTAGAAATAGTTATTAATAATAGTAATAGCAGTAATATTAGTTAATACACCCATTTATGATTTTGCTCACATAGCAGTTTTACTGAGTGGGTGAGAGTTATTGCTATTGCTATCAGGAACCACAATTCCTTCCTAATATACTAAAAATCATTCAGAAAGCTATCACCACCAATCTAGTTTCTATGAATTTGTGTCATAGTAACACAATATTCATGATACTCAGGTATACATCTTTTAATGATTGTTGTCCCATCTCTTCTTTTATTAAGATAATCTTTTTTTTTCTTTGAACACATTCAGTATATGAATTTTGCTAATTCCTTTCAATTTTAGTTAAACCTAAATTTTATGTCTCAGAACAATTCTACTTCATACCAATCCTGTCCAGTTTTTTTCTTTTTTTCGCATATTAGTTTTGGGAGATGTAAATAGATACATCTATGCATATTTACAAACCTCGTGGTATTTTGGAAAAAATGTAACATTAGAAACCCAAATCAGCAGTTCTAGAAAGTGTTTATGAACTGAATATGTAGAGATTACGTTTATGAGAATGAAAAATTAATTAATCTATGTATAAAATACAGTATTAATCCAAATAAGTAGTCTTTAAAAAAAAAAGCAAACAGACACATTAAGCATAATATGACAGATTTCAGAATAATGCAATCTTTATCAATAGCTTTTAATTTCAGGGGGAAATGCCATTTCAAATATGCCCATAAGGGAAAATATTCTGAAACAATAATTTAACTTTTATGTTTATTTTAACTCATAGTCTGCATAACTAAAGACTCTGAATAAATGAAATTAAAATTATTTAAAGCATATTTTACTGTGAAGATCTATCAATTCAGCTTCTTTCTGCTTAAGTAATTTGGAATTTTGTTGAACTTGATCTTGAATTTCTTCATATTCTTTTTTTTCACGATAATATTCTCGGGCAATTGTAGTTTCTAAATATTTTGCTTGGTGCTGCCTGAAAACTTCTTGATATTGATTCATATAATCCTGGTACATTTTTCTTTTAAAACAAGAAAATACAGTCATTTTTCACTGGTGATTAATTGTATTTTCAAAAGATTAGCACATTTTACAATATACACTCTGTTCAACTGAAGTTTTGCAACAATATTAACACCATATACTATTATTTAATTAACTGTGAATATTTCTGACAATTTGTATTTATTATTAATACATATTATTACTATTAACATATGTGGCATCCTAATTTAACTGCCCATGAAAAAATACTTTATATTGTTCTCAAATGCAATTTTCACTTCTATTTATTAATGAACAGAACATCAAATTATTCAAAATATAACTATCTCTAATCATTTAACAAAATATGGCTAGTAGGACACTGGATATAAAATAGATCATTGGACATTGCTCTTCAGCTCTCAGATTCCTAAAAGACAGATTATGCATCATGAATACAGTCTGCCAAAAGACTGTATCCCTATTGCCAAAAGATGTAAGGCTGTAATTTCAATGTTTTTTTCCCATAATGTGGGTTTGTAAATCACCCTTTCCCCTTAAAATAATATTTTATATTATTTCAGAATAATTCTGTTGTTGATTGATTCAGTCTTATGTATTCAATCTTTTAGCACTGTAGTATATATATTTTATTAATTTTATTTTTCTTAATTTAATAAAAATATGTTTGATTTTAAAAACTCTATACTATTCTGGTTAGTAAACATAATACAGATATTTAAGTCGTAACATGAAATGTCTTTCAAATGTTCAAATGTCTTTGCATACTTGTCTTTTTCCGTTGCTTCTTGGTAATTCTGAAGTTCTTTCTGTAAAGATTCTTCATGTTTTTTCAAAATAACATATGTTGGTTTCCAGCTAGATCAGTAAGTTTAAAATAATAATAATTATCTATTTGTTGAGCCAGCATAAGAATTGTCCGAAGTAACAAAGCTATAATATACTGTAATTCTCTCTGAACTCTTTCCAGTGTCTCAAGATCTTTTTTATATTTGGTCACCACAATATAAAAAAGATGTTAAGACACTGGAAAGAGTGCAGAGAAGAGCAACAAGGATGATTAGTAGCTGGAGGCTAAGACATATGAAGAATGGTTGCAGGAATTGGGTATGTCTAGTCTAGTGAAAAGAAGGACTAGGGAAGACATGATAGCAGTGTTCCAAATTTTTAAGAGGTTGCCACAAAGAAGAGAGGGTCAACCTATTTTCCAAAGTATCAGAAGGCAAGACAAGAAACAATGAATGGAAACTAATCAAAGAGAGAAGCAAACTAGAACTAAGGAGAAATTTCCTAAAGGTGAGAACAATTAACGAGTGGAATGCCTTGCCTTCAGAAATTGTGGGTGCCCCATCGCTGGACGCTTTTAAGAAGAGACTGGGCAACTACTTGTCTGAAATGATATAGGATTTCTTGCTCAAACAGGGAGGTGGACTAAATGACCTCCAAGGTCCCTTCCAATTCTGTTATTATGTTCTAGTGCACTGCATTTTTGAATGACAAGTTAAATGTTATCAATTTGCTATTTTCCATTTTTTCCTTTAACTGCTTTATCCTGATTATGCCTCCAATATTGCAAACATTCTTCAAAGGAAAATTGTTTTAACCCCTTGATGATTTGAGTTACATTACTCTGCATATTTTCAGCTTTGTACAATTTCCTTTGGGTGCAATCTGGAAGCAATTTTAAGGAGTGCAAGCAGATATGACATCATTGCATAAATGTCATGACTTACATATTTGTAACTTGTACTGTGACATAATAGCATAATTGCATTATTATGTGATGATGTCATTGATCACTTGGCATCATTTAGACATCACTGTGTTATTATAGACAATTCTTTTTATTGGTTTTTTAGTGATTTTGAGAATTTTTCCAGTGAAGAGAAGAATACAGTAAAAAGAAAAGCATAAAAATGGTTTATATAAATAAATATAAGTATATACAATATACTTACATGTTACAGTTCTCTTTATTAGTATTATTTTGTCTGCATAAGTTAAGAATTGCTTCCTCACTTTTATTTATTTCTTCATGTAGGTGGCAGATTTCACTCTTTTCCCTCAAAATGTTTGCAGTATATACTGAAAATAATTTTTTACGTTGGTATATAAAGAATTTAAGATTGAAACAAACACTTTGTGACATAGCATAGACATAAGCATCTGTTCCCAACCACAGTGACACCAAAATGACAAAACTTATTTTGTGAAATGATAAAATATCTCTAGCATTTCATATTTGTATTATGATATCACATGCAGAAATGTAAGGGAGAAAATTGCAAGGGAGAAAATAACTAAAGTGATAATAGATCTAAGATATTGGAAGGCAGAAATAAAGCTGCTATGGGAAAAGTAGTAAGAATATGAAATATTCTATAATATGAAATATTAAATATTCATGAAATATTAAATATTCAAAATGAAACTCAGTCTGCAAAAGTAAAAATAAATCCATGAATTGAATCATGGCATGATGTTTTGCTATAATATTACATCCTTTTTATATATTCATAAAATATACTCACGCTGTATCTGTTGTCTTTCATATTCCTTTGAGTAAGATGCTTGTTCAAGCTGAAAAACTGAACAAGATATATACATGTTTTGTATTGATATAAATAAAATTTAAATGTAAAAAAGCAATATGCATTTTCAGTCATAGTTTGGTCAATTTTTATTGCCATTCTACATGAATTTAAGTAGTTGAATCATAGTATGCAATTTTCCCTATTTATTCTGGCTCTAATTCTGTATCTCCAAATTACTTTTACTATTACAGTTTAGAATTATTTTTCTTGCTTACAGCGTCCCCTTGTAATATCCATTTAAATAAGCCAGAAGGCAAAATAATAGAAATGGGAATAGGAAAAAGCAAATTGAAAATGAGAAGTAATAGAAAAGTTCAGGGTTAACAGATCTGACCTGCAAATATCTGAATGATCTTTAGTTGTAATTCTATTCTGTTCCAAACAACATTGCTCCATATGTAATTTCTTAAACCATTGTCTGCACCAAGAAATGCTTTAGTGAGACTATAACTAATGTCATTTCTATGTAATGTTACATCCTCTCATAAAGAGATTATATAAGGACCATCTGTACAATTAATTCAGATAATTCTAAAATTTTGAATACCTGGGATAAAAAGTTACAAATTTCTTTTAGTGACTATTTTTTAGGATGAAACTTTTCAACCTACCAAGTTGTAGCAGCAGTTTGTCCAGATTGCTTAAGAGAGTGTCAGCCATTTTGCAACCTAAATTTAAAAGCAGAGAATCACTCAAATAATATTTGTTTTATTGTTTGTTGATTTATTCTAATTTATTCTAATTCCTATATTCAAACTTATTCATTAATAATTGTTATAATCATTATTCCCAATCCTACAGTGTAAGACTGATCACTCTTAGCCTCCATGCAGATGGGGAAATAAGATCAGTGCCTCAAGTTGTGCATGACAGTTGTGTACAATACAACAATGTACTTAAAACTTAAAACTTAATAATACAAAACAAAAACTGCCGCTATATATATATTCGGAAATAAAAACAAAAATTCGATTCTTGGGAATGTTCATGGTACCAAAGATATAAAGACCACCAAGAGAATATCTATAAAAATATGGAATATATATATATATAAGGTAGTGGCTACTTTTTGGTCTGCTGAAGTTACTGTTCAATTTCTTTTTAGAGTTTAGTATTATCACAGATACAAATAAAAACACATAATCTATTCAATATATCCATCTGAAACCTGTAGAAAATTCTTATACCCCCATCACTGGAGCATTATTTAAGTGAGGTAGCATCTAATTCATGAGCAGGTAAGTGTGAGGCAAGCCAAACACAGGAAGGTGGGTCAGAAGGACCAATGGACTTAGAGATAATTTCTCACAAACAGGGGGTCACCTGCTGTATCTCTCTATAGTTAGCCTCTAAATGGCTTGCTAATATGAGGTAAATTTTGTGACGCTGCACTTCTGCCTCTTTGCTCTTCTAAGCATAGTGCTGAGCAAAAGGATGCCCCATCCTTTGCCCCTGCCTGGATATGTCTAGTCCCCACTCATGGATCCATATGTCAAATAATTTTGAAATTAAAAAAATACCCTCCTGGATTTTTTAAAAAAACTTTACAGACCAAACCAACTGGATTGTACCCTTCCTTTATCATATCTCTTCATTGCCCACTTAGCTATCTTTTTTTATTTGTTTGTTTTTCCTTATAGGAAAGGGTTTCAGTATTCCCTAAATGTATTTATTTTGAACCAGCTCTTTTGACAATAATGTGATCTATAGGCATCAGCAACTAGATTTATCTTCACACTTGAAAAAAACAAAAACCCGTGCTTGTTGATTTCTGCAAACTGAGACCCAGCAGCAAATTATGGCAATT